GCCAGACTATGGAATTTACTCCCACTTGGATGGCTTTAAAATACAAATTCATGGGGTAGGTTATTGATGGCTACTAGCCCCGGGTGGCGCTGTGGGTTAAACCACTGAGCCTCTTGGGCTTGCCGATCAGAAGGTCAGCGGTTCGAATCCCCGCGATGGGGTGAGCTCCCGTTGCTCGGTCCCTGCTCCTGTCAACCTAGCAGTTCGAAAGCACGAAGTGCAAGTAGATAAATAGGTACCACTCCAGCGGGAAGGTAAACGGCGTTTCTGTGCGCTGCTCTGCTTTGCCAGAAGTGGCTTAGTCATGCTGGCCACATGACCCGGAAGCTGTACGCCAGCTCCCTCAGCCAATAAAGCGAGATGAGCACTGCAACCCCAGAGTCGGCCACGACTGGACCTAATGGTCAGGGGTCCCTTTACCTTTACCTTTAGCCCCCACAGTCTGAGGCAGTAATGCTTCTGAATACCAGTTGCTGGAAACCACAGGAGGGTAGAGTACTCTGGTGCTCAAATCCTGCTTGCAGGTGTCCAGCAGACATCTGGCTGGCCACCAATGAGAACAGAATGATGAACTAGATGGGCCTTTGACTTGATCATACTTTCTTCTTATGATCAAACACTTGTCCCCCATTGCATTGTGAGTTCTTTCATTCCCAGAATAACGTTATTTAAAGTCTTTAAAGGGCTAAGCACTGAATAATAATAATAATAATAATAATAATTTATTTATACCCCGCCCATCTGGCTGGGCCTCCCCAGCCACTCTGGGCGGCTTCCAACAGAATATTAAAATACAATAGTCTATTAAACATTAAAAGCTTCCCTAAACAGGGCTGCCTTCAGATGTCTTCAGATGAAAAGATTATTGTGCCACACACACACACACACACACACGTAAATGAAAAACTTTTTTTGAAACAACACATTTTCATGTATTCTGAAATCAAAATAGCTTCTTTCTAGATTTCCTTGTAGCGTCATCATCATCAACAGCAACATTATTAATCTACATTAGTAGGATGCCCCCTGATTTCTGTGGGGATAAGTAATAAAAAGAGAAGAGAAAAATGGGGGAAGAGTGTGTGGTGGAGCATAAGGAAATCTATCTAACCAAGTTCTGATTTTTCCCATAAGGACTACTTCAATGCTTTTTTTTAAATAGCAAAGGTCAAATTCTTTCAAAATCCTCTCTCTCCCTCTCTTTTGGTGCCCTTGCTTTGCTGGCACTCTAAGCACATAATTAATCTTCCTATTGGGCAATCCTTCCATATTTCCTGCACTTGGTCCTCAGCAAACTGCTCTTCCCTATGTAGGCCAGCTGTTGCCAACATGATGACAACTCCAGATGTTGTTGGCTGGAACTGATGGGAGTTGTGGTCCAACAACATCTGGAGGGTACCTTCCTAGCAAAGGCTGTTCTAGGTCCCGACTGATCTCTCACGTCTCCTGCTCAGATGGCAGTCCTAGCAGTGAGTCCATAACCCCCCAAACACGGTTCAGTAACATACCTTCTGTTCTTTTTCACAATTCAGAAATGATACCCTTGTGGGATTTTTCCACCCATAAACTGGTCCACCACAAGTTAGCATCTTCTCCTCTACTCCAGTCTTTGGGTGGCATTACCTGACCTATGAGACCAGGACCGCATATTTTAATAGGACGACATTCTTTGATAGGCCAAAACTGCATCAGGTTGCATCATTTAATGGGACTGCACTGGCTATTGATGATATTGCATTGCAATGCCTTGGAATGCATGGTGTGTGATTTGAGCAACAATTGGGGAGTACATCTCACTGAACTTCTGCATTAATGTGTGTAGGTTTGGTCTTATAGATCTGGAACAGGGTGTGTGTATGCACTGCACACACACACACGCGTACACACAACCACACATAGCCCTCTTCTGGGAAGAAAAGAATTGTAGTGGCCATGACTTACTTCGGACCAGGAAACTTGGGCGCTCAGCTCCTCTTTGTGGCCCGCTCAAAGCAGAATGAGTGCCTCTTGCAGAGGGATCTGCTCTCATCATCAATACTAAGGAAAGGGGACTTTACAAAAGGCCAGTGGGGAGGGGAGTTGGGAAAGGAGGGCTGGGGAAGCTTCCAACTCATTTAACCAAAAGCCTCTGCAAGCTGCTTCCTCAGCCAGGGCCATGACCCTTCCAACCCTCTGTCCTTCATTCCCGCCATAAATCCATCCAGTTTATGGGCCTCTGTCTGGCCAGGCTGCCAGGGACTGGAGTTCATACTCCCCTGGGATGTGACTGGACAGCCAGCGGGGCGGGGGGGGCGGCCCAATAAAACTCAGGGGCCAAGGTGGGAGGGGGACTGAGAAGCTGCACTGGTCAGAGGGGAGAAGTGAGCAGTCTTTGTAGTTTGGGGTGCTCCATCTGGCTGAAATGAAGTATGTATTAACAAAGTTAGATCCAATATCAATCCCTCCCCTCCCCACCCTCCACAAATGGCTGGTATTCTACCAGCCAAATGCATACAGGGTTTTCTTTAGTTAATTTTGAGATGGACAAACGGCTCGTGAGTTGGCATTACATTACAGTGGTACCTCGGGTTACAGGCGCTCCACGTTACAGGCGCTTCAGGTTACAGACTCTGCTAACCCAGAAATAGCACCTCGGGTTAAGAACTTTGCTTCAGGATGAGAACAGAAATTGTGCGGCAGTGGCAGCGCGGCAGCAGCGGGAGGCCCCATTAGCTAAAGTGGTACCCCAGGTCAAGAACAGTTTCAGGTTAAGAATGGACCTCCAGAATGAGTAAACCTTCATAGATCTGCCCTGTAATAGGTTAGACAAGCAGCAGAGCAGTACATCGGCAGCAGAGCTAGAGAACCTGTGGCTAGTCTAAATGTTGCTGGACTATCCTTGACCTATGGCCATCCTGGCTGAGGCAAATGGGAATTGGAGTCCAACACATCTGGAGAGCATGGAATGTTCCTTTCAGTGACCTTCGCCTGGATAATCCATTTAATTCCCTCCCGATCCGCCACACACCCAATTTTCCAGTTTTCTACAAAGAGCCCTGCTGGACCTAACCAAAGGCCCAAGAGGAATATAGTGTCATGAGTTGGAGGGAAGGGGTATTAAACTTTGAGCCAAACCCCTCTAATCCCTGGATCCAACATGTGTTAAAAGCTAATCAAGCCTTCTAATTAATGAAGGCGCTCGGTGTGAGATGGCCACTCCCTCAACAGGCAATGCCAGAGTTGAGAGCAGAATTGGCAGTGATGTGAGCTAAAGGGAAAGCAGCAACCCGGAGAGAGAGGCAGAGCAACGTTGAATGAATGAATCTTTATTTGCATCAGCCACCATTCAATACAAAAAACAAAATAGACAGAAACAACAACAAAACGTTATATTTCTGTTTGAATCCAAGGCTGCGGCTATGGGAGAAACAAGACCTTTTTTGGGGTGCTGATGCTATGAAGCCTTTCATCTAAGGTTGTGTATCTGTGTAAATAAACCATACAGGGCCATACAGTGCTAGGGGTGTGGGGCACCCGGGCGCCAGGCTCTCAGGGGCGCAAGGCTGAGAGTCTGGGGCCCAAGAGTTGAGGCCAGGGAAGAGCCTGCCCACTGGTCAGAGCACCGCGGGGGTCTCTTCTGCTGCAGGCAGTTCTGCATCACGAGTTCAGGGGCGACTGAGCCAGCTCTGCCCTTCTGCGTACCTGGGACTGGGCAACCTGGGGAGGGCGCTGGGTGGATCTTTGCACCCCGGCGCCGTATATGCTTAAGACAGCCCTGAAACCATATATCATAAAGATACCACAGTCTCCACTGTGCCTCGTTCCCAAAGGAAACATGAACCCCAGGAACCCCTGGTGTGATGGCCTGGGAATCTGATTCAGAGGCTGAACCTGAGGAACCCCAGCCTGCACAGGAGTCCCCGCCTCCAGGGCTGGCTGAGCCGGGGCAGGGGCTTGAACCTGAAGGGCCCGCACCTGTGCCAGATCCTCAGGAGCAGACACCAGCTGAATCCGCTCTGGCTCCGGAGGTGATCGAGGACCCATTGCCTGCAGGTGCTCCTCTCCCAGCCCTGTCAGGGGAAGGTGAGGTTGCCTCTCAGTCCAGTAACCCTCCAGCCTCTCCTGAGCTGCAGAGGCTCAGGGCAGAGAGGCGGAGGGAACTAAGGAGAGGCGAGTCACCTGTGGACCAGGGCTGCCCTATGCCTCAGAGGAGATAAAGGCCAGCCAGCCCAGTGCCAGGTTGCGGGAGCTGTTCCTGTTGGTTACCTGTTCCTGCCGGCACCCTGTCCTGCTTTCTTCCAGAATTCCTGACCACACCTGACTCCCTGCCTTGGACCCCGCTTCAGCCTCGGACCAGACACGGACGGTAACACACACACCCCGGACCAGCACACCTGGAATCTCGATTGCTCAGAGCTATAGCCCTTACCCATGTCATGCAGCTTCCATTCTCCCCCAGTAGCCAAGCAGCTGCTTATGGGAAGCCTGCAAGGAAGACACGAGGACAACAACACTCACCCCACTTGTGATTCCCAGCAATCTGCCTATGGACGATCAACAGTTATTCCTTAATAATTAAAGCGCAAGCAAGCTTGCTAGAGAACCAGGGAGATCCAGGAAGGCATCACTCATTACAGTTCAGGAGCAAAGGCAGGACCTAGACAGACAATGGATTTTTTTCAGAGTGTTGAAAGTGGTATGATGGACACAGCGTTGCTCATGCTACAGACATTCATCTCACTCTCATATCTGTTCAAAAGGTTTGCAGGCATTTAGAGTGCTTCAGAGACCTGTTTGAGCAGAGCTGACAGCGGGACAAAAGAAATGAGTGGCAGGCTAGCTGATGGAGTGCAGGGAAATCCCATGTGGCGCACCATGTGCAGCTCTGCTCTCAAAGCACCTCAACACCATGCCCACTCCCCCCCCCCCCGAATCTGTTGCCTGAGGAGGCTGCCCCACTTTGCCTAACAGAAGGGCCGGCCCTGATTAAAAGTGTGCTGTTCTGGAATCATCCTCCTGAAACCACTGTGGGTGCAAATGGTCCTGATAGAGCATGAGACTCTTAATCTCAAGGTTGTGGGTTCAAGCCCTACGTTGGGCAAAAGATTTTGACTAGATGACCCTCATGGTCCTTTCCAACTCTGCAATTCAATTATTCTATCTCAGTTAACAGTCCATTGCAGTCATTATTATTTTTTTTTTTATGGAACCCCTTATATGGGATTTTGTATATATATTTTTTCCCTCGGCTCTTTTTGCTGGTCCATGTAGGACCAACAAGGATAGTTGGCCCCGGTGAATATTTGTCATTTTCTCCCCTTATGGCTTTGATCTATGGGCTACCACTAAAACGAGGCTGCATTTTAAGCTGCATTTTAAACTGTATTCTAACTTATATTTTAATCAACTGTTTGTTTGGGGTTTTGTTTTTGTTTTGTTTTGAATGTTTTTACTGTATTTATATTCGGTGTTAGCTGCCCTGAGCCCGGTCTTGGCCAGGGAGGGTGGGGTATAAATAAAATATTATTATTATTATTATCATTATCAAGGGTCCCTCGGAAGTTGCCCTCTTGCTTATGGGATGCCATAACAAGAGGGGCAAGAACTTGATGATGAGAGTGAAACATACTTCAGTGGGATGATTCAGTAGGGATGTTTTGCTTCATGATTAGGGCTGGGGCGTACAGACACATGGTGAAAGCCTGGCTTGGCTGTTTGTGCAGGGTTATAACAGCCAACTCTGTGGTTGTGGCTACGGGGGGGGGGGAGTCCAGCCACACACATGGTCATAGCTGCCAGTGGCACTGTCTGGCTTTCATTAACCTTACCCCATACAATACCTACATATGGGAAAACATATGGGCCTAACCCAGAGGTGGCTGACCTGGTGACCTTGAGATGCTGCTGGACTTCAACTCCTATCCGCCCCAGCCAGTATGGACCACGGTCAGCGTGGGATGATAAGAGCTGTTGTCCAACAACGTCTGGAGGGACTTAGGTTATGCATGCCTGGCCTAACTGATTACCATGAGGCTGTTCTTCCCCAGCCAAAGCCAAACCAACAAGCTGCTTGGGGCAACAAAATTCAAAACGGGATTGAATGTATTTTAAGGGAATGGCAGCAGAGGCTGCTCCGTTAGGACAAATGGGGCACCGCCCCATCAACCTCAGTTTGCCCATAGCTAGCCTCCACCTGCCTGCCTCCTTAAAGGTAAAGGGACCCCTGACTATTAGGTCCAGTCGTGGCCGACTCTGGGGTTGTGGCACTCATCTCACTTTATTGGCTGAGGGAGCCGGCGTACAGCTCCCTGTACAGCTCCCCTGGTCATGTGGCCAGCATGACTAAGCCGCTTCTCGCAAACCAGAGCAGCGCACGGAAACGCCGGAGTGGTATCAATTTATCTACTTGCACTTTGAGGTGCTTTCGAACTGCTAGGTTGGCAGGAGCAGGGACCAAGCAATGGGAGCTCACCCCATCATGGGGATTCGAACCGCCAACCTTCTGATCAGCAAGCCCTAGGCTCTGTGGTTTAACCCACAGCGCCACCCGCGTCCCCTTGCCTGCCTCCTTACTTACAGCCAATCCAGGTGACAGCAAAGCCTATCAGCTTCCTCCTCTTTAGTCTCAGTGTTGCTAACTGTAGAACTCAGTAGGGAGGTGGACAGAGACAAAAACTGTGGGCTCGGCCATTGGTTCTCTGAGTCTCCCTGCCTTCCTCCCAGTGGGCACCAGTCACCATGGGCTGTGTTGCAATTCATCTTGTGCCCTTCGCACATACAATGAAGAGGAGACGGGGCAGCTAAATAGCTTGAGCCAGCCATGCCCCAGGACAGTTTGGCTGTTAAATTTTGAAGCGAATTTGCCTACTTGTATGGATGAGTTTTTGCCACTGGGATCAGTATATACACCATGTCGTTTCCCCACCTGCCTTGATTTGTAGTGTTCTGTGGCTTTGCATTGTGTGTTTGTTGGCTGGGAGGTGGGAGAGTGGGGTGATGTATGGATAACCCTGCCTTGGAATGGGGAGCTGCGCTTGATGGCTTCCTTCCAGCTCTCTTTGCTGTCGTTAACCTTGGGCAGGCTGAAACGGGGGATGAATGATGCAAAATTTCTCCGGTTTTCAATATCAAGGTGAGCCCAGCCTGCCTTGCAGAATTCACATTAGGATGCAAACCCAGGCTTGCCTTGAACGAGACTCGCTCCATCTCAGTTGAAAGGAACAGGAAAGAAAGAATCCCAGAATGGATTCCATTGTTTATCCTTCACTCCCCAGTGGGCCGGAAGGTCAACGAAAACCTCCAACCCAGTCCTATAAGTGAGAAGGGACCACCAACTTATACTTTTCCCTTCTTGGGTACACACTAGCATTATTTTAAACAAACCAAAGAACAAAAGGCACAAAGGCTGCTTCCAAAACTGCCACTATTCCATGCGTAGACTGTGCGGTTAAATGTATTTGATGCTTGAGCAACAAACAGGCACACACACACACACACACACACACCCTGGGTAAGCGCTGAAACCACAGAGCAGTGGTCTTCAGCCAGTCCAGACTGAAGAAGACCCACCTCTGACTCCCAAGCTGCAACATGGGACCTACTCCCACATTTCTGCTTTTCATTTATACTTACCGGTAATAGTGCTGATCATGCATGCTATAAATCCTAAAATGGCAATTCACAGAGCAATATACATAGGGGCTACTTTAGCATTAATACTAAATAAAAACCAGTGCTTTGCAAAATGGCAACGAAACAGCACAAGCATGTGGCTGACCAGAAAAATGTGTCTCATTGAAAAATTGCTATTTGCTGCCCTTTAATAAGACCCCAGAATTTCCTACCTGACGCAAACTGTTTCACCCTGCCTCGTGGTAGGACGTGTCTTAATAATCTATGGGTTCTTCAGGTGACCTGTTTATTGAGTGTTCATCCTGATTTGTTTGCACAGTATTTGCACGGAATTTAGATTATTGCATGCACCCCAGTCTCTGAACAGTGAGAAACCTCTAAGGCATAGGTCTTCCACCAGTGGATCAGGATCCTGAGACCACACCATGTGGGTCACTGCAAAGCTGTTGCCACCATGTGGGATTTCACCTTATGCTGACCAGACCAAAGGAGCACTGTATGCATGTCCAGAATAGAATGTGTTCTGATGACATGCTCATTTTTATCTTTTTTATCCATTTCCATGAGTGCTGCCCACTAAATGCACTCAGTACAGTCAAACCTTGGTTTCTGAACGCCTCTGTTGTCGTACGCTTCAGCTCCCGGATGCCGAAAACCCAGAAGTAACTGCTTTGGTTTTCAAACGATTTTCAGAAGCCAAACATACTATGCGGCTTCTGTTTTTAGTTTCCCTATTGCAGGCATAGGCAAACTTGGCCCTCCAGATGTTTTGGGACTACAACTCCCATCATCCCTGGCCACTGGTCCTGTTAGCTAGGGATGATGGGAGTTGTAGTCCCAAAACATCTGGAGGGCCGAGTTTGCCTCTGCCTGCCCTATTATACTGAGGCTTCTGCTCTCTGTTTTTGGTTTTCGAAAGTTTTCAGAAATCGAATGGTCTTCCGGAATGGATTACGTTTGAAAACTGAGGTTCCACTGTAATGAGTTATATGGGGCTGGGTGAGAATTTGGTTACCATTGAGCAAATTCAAGTCAGGTGAAGCATAGACTTATAAACCATGAGGGACCACGAGGGACCACCACCTAGTCTAACCCCCTGCAATGCAGGAAACTTTTGCCCAGTGTGGGGCTCAAACCCACAACTCTGAAATTCAGAGCCTCATGCTCTACCGACTAAGCTACCCTGATTTGCTAGAGAAAGCTTTCCTTCAAATTAACTTGAGCTCTAGTGCAGCCTCACTGGTAATATGAACCCAGGATTCTAAGTTCCTTTCCCCTTTGTACAAGCTTCCTAATTTCCATCAGTCGCAACACTACAATGCAATCAATCTGTGACTATGAATCCCATGCTTTCAAGACTGGCTTAAAGCTCTCCGTATGAGATCATATTCTGTATAGTGTTGAGTGGTGGTACACAGAACCCATGGGGGGAATTGCACCTTTTTCATTAAGGGCTTATCCACACTCCCCCTTGCCCTGCCCCTTTCCCAGGAAAAACTGCTCTTTAGTACTCAACTGGAGCAAACAGCAACTGGGTTTTCCATGGACTGCTATTTGTTTTGGGCTTTCCCTGGAAACTGGAGCAAACAGCAACTGGGTTTTCCATGGATTGCTATTTGTTTTGGGCTTTCCCTGGAAACGGCTTGGACCTGTGCCTAGAAATAGGGGGTCAAGCAGAAAACCACTAGCACCCATGCTTTTTCGGCACAGGAGAAGCGTAAGTGTAGACGAGCCCTTAGTCCTCACTTTGGAAAATCCAGTGTCTCTTGTGAATTTTGGCTGGTGCCATAAATGTTCCAGGTTGCCAACTGCTTGCTTGAATGACACGCCCTGGACATTTCTTAAAACGTACTTGTGCTTTTATACTGAGTACACTGCATGATGGGCTTTGTGATCTGCTTGTGCTACATCAGCAGTTTGTTGTTTTCATGCAAGTGCCTTAGGTTCACAATAATACAAACCTCTATCCTGAGGTAGCCACCACTGGCAATGGGATGCTCACGAATGTATAGTCCACGCTAGGTAGGTCGCACTGCATCATGGTTTGCTTGTCTTCCCAGGAAGTGAGCACTTCTTAGATGAACAAGTAGTTCTGATTCAAGTAATGCAGATTTCAGTAAATGTGCACGTACATTTTGGAAAACCAAGGCTGAAATCCTATACTCACTTATTGGGGTGCAAGCCCCAATAAACTCAGTGGGTTCCATGAGACGTGGAGATGGAAAGATTCCTTTCTCTCTCTTCTGGATCAAATGCTGCATATTTTTCATTCACTACTTGTCTCCTCTGCTCTGAGAGGCTATGTAAATCTGAGCCCTTGAACAGCTAAGTCATGGTCTAATGAACAAATAATGAAGAGTGATAGCAATCCCATTCCATTTGTCCTCAGAATCCAGATACTGGATGTATTATGTTCTGAATATACTGTATTTCTAACTTTCACCCATAGACCTTATTCTCTGTGAATGTGTTAATGGCATGTATGCTTAGGAGTGCAGTAAGTCTGCTCGTCCAAGTGATCCAGTGAATGGCAGGCTGGATCACCCAGCTGTTGGCTATTGGTCAATGTTGGCTGACCTTGGATGGGCGTTCCCCTGGTGGCAGGCCCAACCAACTTATGGAGACAGTTGGGCGCACTCCCAGGGGTTGTTAAATTGCAGCCTGCCTGGCAGTCTTCCATGCTCCTTCGTCGGATCTCCTACCTACCCTTCCTTAATTTGATTGCTTTTACTGGTGCTTTGACTTTGCTATGGACCAAGTCAGCCACCATATTCAGAGCCAGGCAAGAATTTTTTTCATTTGGCAAATTGGCACCAGTCATCTGGTTTTTGCCTACTCATAGCAATTGTCATACCTTTGTAAGACGGTTAGACATTGGGTAAGCCTAGATCTTAGCTGAAGAAGAGGTTGTAGCCTCCACCTGTCCCTCCTGGGGAAAGAGTACAGTCATACCTTGGGTTAAAGTAGCTTCGGGATGAGTATTTTTGGATTGCGCACTGCGGCGACCCAGAAGTAATGGAGCGCGCTACTTCCGGGTTTCGCAGCTCGCGCATGCGCAGACAGTCAAAATGACGTCACACGCATGGGCGGAAGTGGGGAATCGTGACCCGCGCATGCGCAGATGCGTGGACATGGGTTGCGTTCACTTCAGGATGTGAACAGGGCTCCGGAACAGATCCCGTTCACATCCAGAGCTACCACTGTATCCTGTTAAAAGGATCTGGGGGGAGTGGTTTCTGTCCAATGCCCAGGTAGGGGCTAGGGCCATACCACTCCTCCAATAGGGACCCCATGGAGGGTACCCCAATCTGATGTATGTCATAGGGCGCACACACACCAAGATGTGGTTTACCCTTAGATGCACTCCCAGCAGACGAGCTGGAGTGGTATAGCAACAGCTTTACCCAATACCTACACCAAACCATTCTCCACTGTAACCAATAAAGGTGTGGTCACATTCAAGCCCATTAATAGAGACACCCTGAGTATAAGGCAGCGTCCTCTGTTCCTATGGTAACATTAAATCTGACCCTTCCAAGTGCTCCTATTTTCCAGGGATATTCCTGGATTTACAGAAGCAGTGCCAGTTTCTGATTTGGTCCTCAAATGTTCCGCTTTCCCTCAGGATGCCCCTGTTTCTATTGGAGAAATGTTGGAGGGTATGGATCTTACAGTGGTACCTCGGGTTAAGTACTTAATTCGTTCCGGAGGTCCGTTCTTAACTTGAAACTGTTCTTAACCTGAGGTACCACTTTAGCTAATGGAGCCTCCCGCTGCTGCCGCGACAACGCAACACGATTTCTGTTTTCATCCTGAAACAAAGTTCTTAACCTGAAGCACTATTTCTGGGTTAGCGGAGTCTGTAACCTGAAGCATCTGTAACCCGAGATACCACTGTATTTTGTTTGCTTCCAGGTCTTCGGGTCTTCATCTGTTGCCTTCTCTTTTCCACCCTCCCCCTTCTTCTTCTTCTTTTTAAATAAAGTCCAGGCAGCCCCCATGGGACTCAAACCAACAGGGCCAAGGAACTGTATTTGACTGGGGCGCCAAGGAACCACTAGGCTAAGCAGGCATCCTTTTCCCTGGCTGAAATGGTGAATGCAGTTCTTGGTAGGGGATGAAAAAGAAGGTTCAGCTGAGAGTCAGAGCATGGCAGGGCATGTCCTTGAGCTGCAGTGTGATCCAAGCTCTTGATTATTATTCTGAAAGCAACTCCAGAGAGAGAGAGAGAGAGAGAGAGAGAGAGAGAGAGAGAGAGATGGGGCCAGGAGAGGAGAGGGGAAGAAGAAGCCAACTCAGCTTTATCTCCTCCAGATTTTTCATTTTTCTCCCTCTCCTGGGCTTCCCTCCCCACCCCCCACTTCACCCTCTTCCCAACACTGCGCATGAAGATGAAATTACCAGGTTAAGATGAATGGAAACAGCTTGTGTGAGAGGGATACAACAAAGCCAGGGAGATTTATGGGGACGGGCGAGAGGCGGGGGAATCTCTCAGGATGCCAGCGCTAGGGAGAAAAACATCCCTTCTCTCCTGCTACGGTTGGCGCAGGCGACTCTGCGGAGCCAGCGGGGCATGCAACTGTGGTGGTGGCGGGGATGGGGGGCAAGCAGGCCAGGAATGTGCCTTTGTCCTGCTTAATTTATAGGCTGCTTGGATTAGGTTGCAGCAGGAGCTGCTGGGAGCACAGGGAAGAATGTGTTCATTCTTGCAAGGCTGTTTGCGCCTGGGTCTAAATATGGGCTTGTGGGAAGGAATATCTTCTTCTGAGGGGCAGTGGCGTAGCGTGGGGGGTGCAGGGGGGCCGGCCGCAACATATGGGGGGGCGCGCTCGCACTCGCAGCTCTCTGCCCCTACCTGGCTCACTCACTCTAGGGGGCGCAAATTACTTGCCTTGCCCCGGGTGCTGACAACCCACGCTACACCACTGCTGACGGGTGCTGGGCTGGTTTCCTTATACCTGACCTGATAGGATTTTAAAAACCAACTATTTTTTTTAGAACAGCTGCCATACAAATCCAAAACAAAATCACAGAGAGAAACTAAAAACTGGAATCAGAGACTATTGCTTCAAATGACTGGTGTTAAAGGCCTGTGGTTGATTTCTAAAGAAAGAACCAACGTTTTCCAACCCAGAACCAAGACACACATCTTCTGGGGTGCGCTCCCGGGTGAGTCATGTGACCTGCACCTCACACCAAAAAAGTGCTCTGTCAGGCACCAACCCCAGCCTCTCTACTGCCCTGAACCGACCCTCCACCACCCAGGAACAGGGCAGAAGTGCCACTGTCTGGAAGGCAATTCTTCTGCATTGCCCTACCATGGGCACCTGCTCCTGCTGCCACTGCTCATTGGGTAGAAATCACAGAATTGTAAAGTTGGACGGGACATCAAGAATCAACTGGTCCAACCCCCTGCAATGCAGGAATCTCAACTAAAGCATCCATGACAGATGGCCAACCGACCTCTGCTTAAAACCTCCAAGGGTCCACAATCTCCCGAGGGAGACAGTTCCACTGTCAAACAGCTCTTGCTGTCAGAAAGTTCTTCCTAATGTTTAGTCTGAATCTCCTTTCTTGCAACTTGAATCTGTTAGTTCAGGTCCTGCCCTCCGGAACAGGGGAAAGCAAGCTTCCTCCATCCTCCGTGTGATAGATATTTGAATACGGCTATCATATTTGTGCCAGGTTTAGGGTGGGTAATAAGTTGCATCACTGAATTTTACCTGGGGTGTTCCACTGGTGTATCCATAAAGGGGGGGGATATCTAGCGGTCTGCCAGTGTTGTGTTAAAGGTAAAGGTAAAGGTAAAGGGACCCCTAGCCGACTCTGGGGTTGCGGCGCTCATCTCGCTTTACTGGCCGAGGGAGCCAGCGTACAGCTTCCAGGTCATGTGACCAGCATGACTAAGCCGCTTCTGGCGAACCAGAGCAGCGCACGGAAACGCCGTTTACCTTCCTGCAGGAGCGGGACCTATTTATCTACTTGCACTCTGACGTGCTTTCGAACTGCTAGGTTGGCAGGAGCAGGGACTGAGCAACGGAAGCTCACCCCGTCACGGGGATTCGAACCGCTGACCTTCTGATAGCACCCAGAAGCAGTATATAACTGTAAAGTTGTATTAATTTAAATCTGCCTGTTATCACCACTCACTCTAATCCTTTACCATACTGTTTGCACAACCCTAATC